GGCGTTCCTCTTTTCCGTTTTTTTTTCAAGATTCCAAGTTAGGGCTTGACCCATCATGCAGTTTGATGGTTTCCATAATGTATATCCTATCCACTTCCAATGTCTTTTCCTGATTTCCTCGTCAGCTAGAAGGATAGAGACTTCTTCATTACGTAATAAGCTCTACTAAACTTGCTTACTAACAAATTGTCATTGACTAAAATGATCTTACTGAATAAAAATTAGTTACACTATACAAAGACTAATCAGCTACTTAGACTGAGTTACATAATCATTACAGTAATTTAATAATAATAATAATAGTAATAATATGGTGTAGTGCTATACAAGCCCATATAGCTTATTCTAGCCTGTTAATTAATCGCTTATCAACTTTGACTGTTTTTACGTAAGCTTATGTGTGTGTATGTGCTGGTGGGTGACCTATGCTCCTCCACGAAGAGTAACAGGAGTAAGTAGTAAAAAAGCGTATGTGTTCACTTCTTATCCTACTTCTTATCACATGTCTGTAACTTATATTTGTATGACTATAAATATAGATTAACGCTTGATTATATGGAACTGGCTTACACGTCTTCTCTACTGTACGTCATTTCACTTTGCTTTCTTCGCTTCGCTTTGTTTCTTCGGTCCATTGTCTGAATTAACGACTAAATAGAATACACGTATTTGGAATTTATTCTCGTATTTGATTTATTTAATTCCGTTATTCACGAACGTGATTTAAGTCGATGATTATATAATTGAGCATAATCAGGATGTATATTTCGACAGCAATTATTTCGATAACAATCATTCCTACAATCTAATTGCAGTCAAATAAAGGGCTACAAAAGTAGTAAGCCCATCGATAACATCATCTGATCTAATTGCCGTCAAAATAATGGGTCAGTAAAACGGCTTGAGAATATAGTCAACATCATACTGAATTCATATAATAGAATAAACTGCAAAATCGTGCATGGAGGACAGCTCACAGACTAGTTCGAAATAAAGACCGGAGTCAGGCAAGGTTGCTCACTTTCAGCCTTCCTCGTTCTCCGGATGATCGACTGGATCATGAAGACGTCAATATCTGGGGGAGGGAAGTACGGGATATAGTGGACAACTAGGATGCAGCTGAATGATCTAGACTTCGCAGATGATCTGGCTGTTCTTTCACGCACGGAACTACAAATACAGGAGAAGACGAACAGTGTATCAGTAGCCTCAGTATCAGTAGGTCTCAACATACACAAAGGGAAAAGCAGGATTCTCCGATACAACACAACTTGCATCAATCAAATCACACTTGATGGAGAAGATTTGGAAAATGTAACAATCATCAGATATCTGAGCAGCATCGTTAATGAACACGGTGGATTGGATGAAGATATGAAGGTGTGGATTGGAAAAGCAAGAGCAGCATATCTACAATTGAAGAATATCTGAAACTCAAAATATCTGTCTGTCAACCAACACCAAGGTCAGAATTTTCAATATAAATGTGAAGATAGTCCTACTGTATTGGGCAGAAACTCGCAGGAATACGAAAGCCATCATTCAGAAGATACAAGTGTTTACTAACACTTGTTCACGCAAAATACTTCGGATCCGTTGGTCAGACACTATCAGTAACAATCTACTTTGGGAGAGAACTAGCCAGATTTAGAGGAGGAAGAAGTCGGGAAGAAGAGTTGTTAGTGGATAGGATACACATTGAGAAAAGTATCCAATTGAGTCACAATGCAAGTCCTCACTTGGAATCGTCAAGGTTGAATAAAAGAGAAGTGGGAGATCAAAGAACACATTACGCCGAGAAATGGAGACAGACATAAGAAGAATGAACAAGAATTGGATAGAACTAGAAAGGAATGCTCAGAACAGAGTGATTGATTGAATTCTATTCGTCAGCCTATGCCTGATTGAGAGTAACAGACGTAAGTAACTAAGCAAGTATGTAAGTGAAATAGCCTAATAAATTTATATCTGACGACATAATCTTTTCTGCTCCTGATTCAAATATCTAATATTCCCTTCTTATTTTTGTTTTTACAACTTTAATCATGGCTAATTTGATTCAACATGGAAACAAATGAGTTAAACTGTCGTGTACTCTGGTAATTTTCATCTTTCCATTATATCACGTTAGAACAAAAAAGTAACTTGGCTAATAAATTATTATTTCATAGAATCATTACGTCATATGTTCTGTATTTTTTTTAAAGGAGAATCATAGTCTTTATGTTCTTTATCGAATTAGCATATGACTTTAAAAAGGATCGTTACATGGAGTTTGTTGAGATTAGATTGATATCATGAATGGATAGATGTGAGACTACTATTAAAAATCTGGAAGCATGGGATGTCTATTATATCATAGTATGAAACTCTTCAGCAGGAAGTATCCACGATCCTTCATGTGGGATTCGAACACAGAACTTTCAGTGTCACACACGAACGCTTAACCTTCAGACAAATGAGCAGGTATCCAACGTTGTTAATGTCTAATATCCACTAATCCACGATATTGCCCCGACCGTACACCATTATCTTCAGTGAGTAATTGTCTTAAGCCAGACAAAGTTGAACTCTACTGATCATGGTTTTTCACTAACACTCCAGGTTTTTAATAGTACTCTGACATCGATCCATTCATGATATTAAGTTATTTTTTACTTTGTCTTATTAACAACTTCAATGAAATATTCTTATTTACAGAGTAAGGAAGCATTAAGATGATTAATTTAATCTATTTGAAAACTCCTTCGTATATTAGATATCCAACATAACTTAGAGTCAAATGAAGGACCAGAATTGAAAACCTTGGAGATCACAGCATTTTGTTGGTGTTTTGTTCTCTGAGCTGGATGGTTTGGTCGTGGAGCTTTCATCGTTCTTCTGAACGACATCATCAGCACAAACTTCAGATAGAAGTCTGAAATCTGAAGTTTGTGCTGATGATGTCGTTCAGAAGAACGATGAAAGCTCCACGACCAAACCATCCAGCTCAGAGAACAAAACACCACCAAAATCATCCACCTGAGCTACAAATCTTCTCCACCATCTCAAGATCACAGCATTATTATTAGTGGCTTCATTCAATATTATTTCTTTTGGTACAATAGTAAATATTCAGCATAAAGAATTTCATAGAGTTCCCGTTTCTTACTTCTTGGTCAATCCTAACGATAACATATTGAATAATCAGCAGTTAGATGTTAACTGTTCAAGAATCGATGTCTGTATAATCTTCATTCTTTTCGATGTATATTGCCAGCAATCACGATATCTATAGTTGGGCTTTTTGTAACTTGTACAACGAAAGGTTCTACATTTTTGACAAATGTACCTGAATAGATTACGTAATTCACTGATATAATGATGTGATAAAACATGTAAGGAAGTAGAGAACTTGTTAAACTATAAAGATGACAAGAACAGGTAACTCAAATATTCGAGAATATCGCCTTCGTTTAAATAAATCTCATTGAGATAATGGAAAATTCTAGATTATATTCTGTATAGGCTAATGAATATACGCTAAGATCCACTTCATTATAACAAACCACTAAGTTTTATAAGCAAAGATGTATAGTAGCTAGTAATGGAATTCAGGATGCACGTTCCGTCCTATTTGGGACTCGTCAACTGTATATACCCTCATACCTGTAGTTGATGTTCAATCCGGGACTCGAACCTGTATATACCCTCATACCTGTAGTTGATGTTCAATCCGGGACTCGAACCCAATACCGTCCGCCTCAAACGCCATCGCATCATCCACTAAGCTACTGAGTCCTGGTAACCACCTGCTTGTGTAATGTGGTGAAGTTTAAATTTACCTAAGGTAATATCGAGGCAACCCACACAGGATCTACATTTGCCAACAAGAGACTGATCAATCGCAGTCCTGAACAACAATGGTAAAATACAAGCAAATAATACTAAGTTTTTTTTCTTATACTAATATAATCTGAAACTTCGATGAATAATAAACTGAAAATACATTACACATAATATATTTATATCGCTCATTCGATATATCTACTGTAACCGGGTGAAAGCAATCAATCATCTTGAATTGTACCTGATGGTGTTACATAATAATTTATCAAAGTATAGTTACTTTAAATGAAGCTTTCTCTGTAAATATACGTGATATTGTCTTTATTTTATTTTAAAAAAGCCTATATGTTACATCCGAAGCCCTGTCAAGTATCACGCCAATCAGAACATTGATTTAGATGACCATATCCCTGTGTTAAACTAACGATGCGTCATCTAGTACGAGCAACCTACAGTCAACTCTGTGTTCATATTGGTCCTGTGAGGTAGTAGATTCTCGTCTAACCCATCCGGATTAGTCCAGAACACTAATATTAACCTCCGTTATATGAATCCTGTATTCCAGGCATAACTAGTTTATATACAAACAAACCAGACTGCATCATACCATAAATTGAAACCAAATATTATGCAAGACCAGGTCAAAAGTGTCTGTGAGTGTGAGGAACTTTAACTAATAAATTGGGAGTAACTTATGAATAGTATGTCAAATAACAGTAGCTATTAGGTCAATTGGGAGCTTATAATAAAAGGAATATAAATATACACATAAACTAGTTATTTAATGGTCATACAATAAGAATATTCATATCATATTGGTCCATAAATAGATCCTTGTAGTTACTATTCATTGATTCTTCGTCTGGAGATAACACACTGGATGACTATTTCATCTTAGTATTGAACTCTACGATCCTATACTGACATTCTTTATATCTTATTTGAACAATAAACATTTTCATAATGTCAGTATAGCGTTGTGGAGATTATTAGGTTATTGATTGAGATCATGAACCGATTGATGCCAGACCACCACTGAAAACCTGGAAGCACTGGACGGCCGTTTTATCATATTGCCAGACTCCTCAGCAGTGTGCATCCATAATGATCATAATGGTCTCTTAACTCGTTTCTATTTATGTTTTTGTTTTGTTTTTTCTTTTCCTTTACAGCTTCCTACAATATTATAACTGGTAGTGAAAATGAATGAAGAACCCATCCCACCCCATCTTACCCCCCTGCCAAAAAAGAAACGGAATAGAATAGCAAATAATAGAAACTTCAACAACAGCATGGAATATTCTATGAATGTCAATAAAATGTCTGATCAGCTGATTATAAGACAAGTATACAATAGAAAGTATTCAACACAATCAAGTTTGCTTGTTTATCTCTTACATAATAAACTAAGCAATGTATGCTAATGCATTTTATGACTAAATCTATACTTTAATGCTTAGTTAGCTAATACAGTTTTTGTGCTTATCAAATTATAGACATTTAATCAGTTGATTATATTTCTTTTAAGTAATATATTCATCAATTGTATGACGTCATCACTATTGCCTTCCGCTTCATCCTCATCCTCATCCTCATCATCCTGATCAACAACATCATCATCATCATCATCACCATGGTTATCATTCTCATCAGTCATTCATATGGTCACTGACCATATCTTCTAATAAAAAAAATAACATAACTCCCCTTTATCCAATAGTGCACCATGTGCTTTTCTTTTCTTTTTTTTCTTCTCGTTGTTTTTTTTACTATTTCATAATGTTTCTATCTTGAATTTGATAATAATAACAAATGTAATTATCAGCATTTTGTATTTCTACCATCCCACCCCACCCAACCCCACCCCCACCCCCTCACACATTCACATATACACACACACACTTTATGTGTCTTATTTGCTTTCATTTCATTAAACCTATTTGATTATGTAATTTTTCGTATTCAAGTTGATTTATAGTTTGCTTTCAATGCTATTATATCTATGATTATGAACTGTCTATTTGTTTAATTAAATCATCACATGTGCTTCAATGAACAAGAAGAAGGAGAAGAAGTAATAACGTTGAAGATGATGTAATATGACATTTCATGACAATAATATAGTGAATGTTATGTAATGTATTTCCATTTCTTCCATTCAATGTCGACTACTTATGGTTTATGGAGGTGTCTGAGAAGGGAATTGGATTAGTGGTGGTCTTAGTGACCTGAGAGCGTGACCGCAGTGTCCAAGGGACAACTGCTTGAGGTCGGTCACACACGACCTTTTTATGGGCAATTTTTGTGTTAGCTCCGTGCTTGTTGAGACCTTGCCGCCGGAGACTGATATCCGTGGGATAAGGCGAGGTGTGCATTTTTATGGTCGACTTTTTCTAACCCCACCCCTCCTCGTGGAAAGGCAGCATCGCTGTCATGCTGGTTTTCTGAAGGAAACACCTTACTGCTGTCACACCTGTGTACAGTCAGCAGTACGACTTCGCCTTCGGACCTTAGGTTTGTTGTTTTTAGTCCTACCGCTCTTCAACCGACCTGTCTGACATGGTAGGACCTTGAGGAACGGTTGTTCTGGCCAGTATAGCTCGGTTGCTTCTTTCTTCCTGCACTATATCCTTATTGAAATCTTTCTTTTATATATTACCACCTCTGCATTAGCTACTTGTATGAATCCGGTATCCATCTTGTTGTGCTAATGAGGTAAGGCAACTTGGACTGATGCATATATGTGCCTGGACCTACGTTGTAGCTGACTGACTGACTTATGGTTTATATTAAGTTCATATTTGTTCATCATATGAATGATGACAACAAATGAATAAAGAATAAACTAAATTAAAACAAGATAGACACTGACATATCTTGGTTTCGTAGTTCAGATTTATACTATATGCTTACTAGTGATTAGTTATGAAAGGGAATTCTTAGAATTCTAGTGACAAACTGTGACTGGTGGAGTTAATCTATGTCGGATAAAGACAAATATCTACCTTAGTAGATGGTCACACAATTTCATGGATTGGTTGAAGTTAGACATTAACACTATTGGATACTGGTTTATTGGTATAGAGCTTAAGTGTTCGTGTGTCAGAACGTTCTTGGGATCGACAAATCTCAAATGAGGAATCGTGGATGCGCACTACTAAGGTGTTCCATACTAGAACGAAACGGCCGTTCAGTGATTCCAGGTTTTCAATGGTGTTCTAGTATCAACCGATTCACGATATCAATCAAAAACTCAACAATCTTCATAACACCATACTGGAAATTTGTAATGGCTGTCGTTCATTGTTTTGAACGAAGCATAATTTTAGTGTATAATATTTCCATGTTAAATGTTAGAAGGTGATCAATAAGAAACCATGAAATGCAGAATTGGTACGAGTTGATTTTTGTCAGTAAAAAATATTTGCACCCAGTGGTTCATTGACACTTGTTTAATCTGTGAACAGTCTTGTGAAGGGCATAGAGATTTGTACTATTCAATCACTAACTAGCAGGCATTATCGTATCATCCTAACAGACTTAGACCAAATATCAAATGTGTAATTGAATCATTATATATACATCTATCACTTAAGGCTTTTTTCAGAGTAGTTGACAGATTTACTGGTTTAACTTGATTATTTCATAAACCTCTTAATCAAATAAACCACAATACGAAACTCTTTATTTTAACCGAATGCAAGTTTCGATGTCTTCAATGAGGTCTACTACGTTGGTTAGGCGATCACGTGTGAGACCGAAGGTCTTGGGCTCGAAACACGCGGGCTGAATCGTGGGTGCGCACTTCTGATGAGTCACTCAATAGGTCGAAACGGACACCCAGTACTTCCAGGTTTTCAGTTGTGGTCTAACATCACTCGGTTCATGATCTCGCTCAGCTATAGATGTATCATTTTTTCTGTCGTGAAAAAAAACCTAATTAGTTTAAAAACGGCTAAGACTATATTGTTACCAAAATTAAACTGAACTTCTGTTATGTCTAGGAAGAATCCGCAAAGTAATATAGCTTTTCACTGATGATACATTACCAGGTGATTACCATTTGGAATTAGTATCCAAGTTACATTATTAAAATATCACTATTTTAATGTCTAATACACAGAAATTAAATAAAGTGGCTTGATCATCATATTTACTTTCGCCTGTTGCCACTGATAAATTAACATAGGCTACCTACCAGTATTCTTCATGAAACACTCTCCTCGACAGTTCTTTTCACTTGTTTCCAGTTGCTGTTTTTAAATCCAGATCCTGTATGTCTTTTAATCTTTCTATTTTTCATTTCCCTTCAAGATTCCAAGATAGCGCTTGCTTCGTGATGCAGTATGATGATTTCCTCAGTATATATCCTACCCACCTTCATCATCTTTTCCGAATTTCTTCTTCATTTGAAATGTGGTTTCTTCTCTCCCATTAATTTGTTTAATCTGGTTGGCGTCTTTTAGCAAGATTTTTTTCTACGAGATAGGGTTGCCGACCCCGTGCCAAACCCTCCTTCTTTACCCGGGCCTGGGACCGGCAGTAACTCTAGAAGAGCTACAGATGAAGGTAAAAGTATTTATAAATAGTTGTCTACGCAAGACACTCATCATCCAGTGGCCGGATACCATCAGACACAGCCCACTGTGGGAGAGAACAAAGCAACTTCCAGCTGAAGAGGAAATTAGGAAAAGATGCTGGAAATGGATAGAACATTACGGAAATCACCAAACTGCATCACGAGACAAGTGCTAACTTGAAATCTTGAGGGGAAACGGGAAAGAGGAAGACCAAAGAACACATTACGTCGAGAAATAGAAGCATGTACGAAAAGGATGAACAACAACTGGAAAGAGCTGGAAAAGATTCCCCAGGACAGGATGTCTAACTTCAATCAATCCACGAAATTGCGCGACCATATTCCATTGTACTGAGGTAGATACCTGTCTCTACCCGACACGGGTTAACTCCACTGGTCACGGCTTCTCATTAGACTTCCGAGAATTCCCTAACGAAACTAGTCGCTAGTGAGCACATGATCAGACTATAAGAAGGAATTCATTGAAACAAGCCTTCCCTCTCCGTCCAAAGCCTTTGTTCTCAAGTTTCATAATAATGGAATGGAAGTAGATTTCAATTACTAATAAGTAAAAAAGAACATAATCCTTATAATGTTTTACCACTCATTGAATTTATTGTATTATTTATAAGTTACTTACTTACTTACGCTTGTTGCCAATCAGCATTCTCCAGTCTATTCTGTCCTGGGCCTCCCTTTCCAGTTCTATCCAATTCTTGTTCATTCTTCTCATGTCTATCTCCATTTCTCAGCGTAATGTGTTCTTTGATCTCCCACTTCACCTTTATTCAGCTTTGACGAATCCAAGTGAGGATTTGCCTTGTGACACAGTTGGGTGCTCTCCTCAATGTGTATCCTATCCACTGACAATTCTTCTTCCCGATTTCGTCCTTCGCTGCAATCTGGCTTATTTTCTCCCACATTCAGTTGTTGCTGATAGTGTATGACCAACGGATCCGAAGTATTTTGCGTAGACAACTGTTAATAAACACCAGTATCTTCGGGATGATAACTTTCGTAGTTCTGCAAGTTTTCGCCACATACAGTAGAACTATCTTCACATTTATATTGAAAATTCTAACTTTAATGTTAGTTAAAAGACAGATGTTTTGAGTTCCAGATGTTATGCAGTTGTAGATATGCTACTTTTGCTTTGCCGATCCACACCTTCACATTTGCATCAAATCCACCGTATTCATCAATGATGCAGCCCAGATATGTTATGATTGTTACATTTTCCAAATCTTCGATTGATGCTTATTGTGTTGTAGTGTAGAATCTTGCTTTTCTTTATTATTTATAAGTAGTTTATTAAAAATTTTCATAAAAATTTCATTTAGAATTAATTTCTAATTTCATAAAAATAATCAAAATATAAAAATAATAAAAAAGTTAATTGAAACATGCTTACCCCACCCCCCTTCCTCTACCCTCCTCTACTACTGACACTTTAAATCTTAAATTTCATGTTCATTTTTATTTACTTCGTTCATTGACAATAATATTACATATGACACATGTCAATAGAACATTGAAAAATTGAGTTCTATTTTCGTTTCCTTCTTTCCTTTTTTTCTTTTCTTGATTTTTTTCTTTTTTCTTTTTTCTTTTCTTTATTTTTATTTTTTTAATTAAATAAAATTATGCTTGAATGATTTTAATAATAAATTTTCAAAGCAAAAAAAAGAAGAAAAAGTAAGTAAATAAATAAAAATAATTCAACACACATTTTGACGACAACGACAACAACGACAACGACATTAACAAGAAGAAGAAGACGAAGATGACTTTTTAGCAGAATGATTTTTTCCGTTGTTTTTCTTTCTTGAAAGAAAAAAAAACAAAAAAAACATTTTTCCTAATTCATCATTGACAATATTTTTTTTTTGTTTTCTTTTTTTCTAAAAAAAAAATAAATAAATAAATGGATTTTGTTCAATATTTAATTTGTTTCTATTTCCCTATTTATAATATGAATATTGTTTATTCTATATGAATATGAATATGGATAGGGGGTTTTAAGAAAGGAATCAAAATGAAATTGTGTAAACAAAAACTACAAAAAAAAAAAGAAGTAAATGATATTGATATTGTTTGAGAAAAAGAAGCAACAATAAAAAAAGAGTTTTGGGATAATTATAGTTTTAAACATTTATGAAAAGATACAAGTAAACAAAACTGGATGAATGTAAACCTTTTCCATATTGTATAAGCACGTGATTATCAGGATTTAGTTTATAAGTGATGATGGTGTTTGTAATGAACGTTATTGGGGTTTGAGTCTTGGAATGAATATCAACTGTAGAATGCAAGTATATCTGGTTGACGAATCCCGAATAGGACGAAACGTGCATAAAACTGGATTTCATTATTAGCCAACATTCATCTTTGCTTAGAATGTTTGTGACTTAAGGCGATATGGGGATAATAAGCACACAATTGTTGTCCTAAACAGAAATGGGAAGATTCAAGTAAAACAATATTAAGTGAAAATATTATTGATTCTATTATTTGACACTTATCCTATAGAAAAATATTGTAAAAACTGTAGAAGTTGATTATGGAACATTCATTTTTATTCTAGACAACATTATTAACATCAGATTGGTTTTTGTGGAGATTGTAGTAATTTCAGTGGTTAAGATCATGAGTCCGTTGGATGCCGGCTCAGTGGTCTAGTGGTTAAGTGCTCGGGCGCGAAACCAGTAGGTCCTGGGTTCGAATTTCGCATAGGGCGAGGTCGTGGATGCGCACTGCTGAGAAGTCTCACAATAGGACGAAACGGCCGTCCAGTGCTTCCAGGCTTTCCATGGTGGTCTAGCTTCAACTGACTCATGATCTTAACCATTGAAACATTATTAGCACCGACTTTATATGGAAGTATGTCTGACTTGTAACTCCTTGATTGATTGATTTTTTCCTTATGGATTGATTGATTGATTGGATCTAGGATGATATACTTATTAATTACCAATAGATTTGAATTCTATGTTTCTGGAATCTATTTACAGCCTCCTTGATTA